ACACACACACACACACACACACACACACACACACACACACACACACACACACACACACACACACACACACTTATCCTTGCATTCGCATCAAACTGAGGACATTGTATTGACTTCCATTCATTTTTCTAACCGTATTTATGCCTCATCAAGACATTTTCTCTCAAATTAACCATTACTGGTCTGTAGTTAACCCTAACCTGAACCAGAACTTAATTCACACATTACCTCTAAACCTAACTAGTAAAGCACAACAGAGCTGAATATAAATGGAGGACATTGAAGAGGTCCTCACTTTACATCAAAGACCTCACTTTGATAGTAACTATGGCGCAAATGGTCCTCACTCTGTAGTGAAAACAAGTATACACACACACACACACACACATCCTTGTACTTGCATCAATCATGATTGATCGGATTGACTTGTCTTGTGGGACAACTTAAAAGAGGAAGTAATGATAGTAAAATAATTTGACTGTCTATGTACAGTTTAAAACAGAACAATGACTCAAATAAAAATTATTGTGAACATTTAAACATAATTTATTGACTTCAAATTTCATGCAGCAAGCACCTTCCTGTCTCAAATTATGACTAATCTTTATATTAATATTCATCATCATCATCATCATCATCATCATCATCATTATCAGTGTGCCCCAGCGCAGCTGTGGCTACAATGTAGTTTACCATCATCATTGTGTGAATGGGTGAATGTGCTAGCACCTTCCTGTCTCAAGTTACGACTAAAATTAATCTTAAACATAGGTGCTGTCACAGTTGTAATTAATCGGAACCCAAATGCAAGCAAGAGGCGCAGATAAACTATTTAACAATGTGCTGCCAGAAACCCTTACAAAACTGGAAACTCAGAGGGTCACAGGGATGATTGAGACGGTGCAGGAACATGTAATGCTCTGCTACCAGAGTCACAACAGACACAAACATTTAAAGGGGACCACTGATGAACTGAATGTCAAACACCTGGGGAGAGACGACAAGACACAGGTGGATGGGGCGGGAGCAGAACTACACATTAAGGATACATCGAGTATTGCAAAAACACAAACAGACAGATCCACACAGGTGCTTCCTGCCCGACTCGACCAACCTACTCCCCACTGCGTCCAGCTTCTTCAAACCCCACCATCAATCTGACCTATCAGTCATGTCTTGGGCCAAATCCTCCCACAAAATGAGACACTCCTATGTAATGACTGCTGAAACCCTCTTAACATTTTCCTTAACTCTAACCCTTACTACTCAATTCCTGAACCTAACCTGAACCAAGATTTGGCCTCTGACCCGTCTGATCAATATTTACTATCAATCAGAACACAAGTCATTTCTGCTGCAATCGGTCCAGCCTACACACAGAGTCTGAGGTCAAACCCCCACCTATTTGACTGGGCTACTCCACACTGACTGACCCTTCTAGATAAATAGGATATTTGAACTGCAAACTGTTCGGATGAAGAGATTGACTGTTTTCTACCCCTTATGTTAGCTGAGGGTCACCCAGACGACCTCTCAGACGACAGGTACACAGATCAGGAAGCCCCGGGCTGGTGCTCCTCTTATCACCTCTGGTCAGCTCAGCACAAGCATTTTTATGGTGTCAGTTACTGAGTCCAGAAGTGGAACGTTAAAAGTAACTCACCACGGAATCAGGAAAAACCCAGGAGCCGCAGATTTGTTTTGTGCTCGTTGGCAAAAATTAATTAAAGGGCCAATATTATGTGTTTCTCAGGCATATAATTAAATACTATACCATAATAAAGTATCTATGTCACCTTTAGCTGTTATTAAAATGCTGTTTTTATGTTTAAATAGAAAATAAACTTATCTTCTCATCACTTCCTCTTCTAAACGCCTTGAAATTGGCCTCTGTCTCTTTAAGAGCCACCTTCTGCTTCTGTCCCACCCATTTCGGTGCGGGGTAGGGTGGGATTCGCGCGCGGGTGTCTGTGTGTGTGTGTGTGTGTGG